ATGATTTCTGAACTTATCATTTTGTAACACACGAGAATGACTAGAAAGGAGAGAGCAGCAACAAAAGGGAGAGTGGCACTGAGGACAGCCCTTGCTGGGGCATGCGTCAATGAGTACATGAGGTGCCAGCATCACACCGGATTTCTTTGTCAGACAAAGAATAAGCTTTGTCTGATAAGCTTTCCTCTAATGCTTCACCCAGCTCTGAGAGACGACACCGATGCATGTGAGTGACACAGACACCTGTGAGGAACACCTGTGCTTCACCTTCTTGTCTGACAAGAAGGTGAGAAGCAAGAATTTGGAAATCTCTAGGCTGAAAGTGGTACTACTAAAGCAGCTTACTACTAAAGTCTGTTTAATGGCAGCGAGGACAGGACAGGCCCAGTAAAGACAAGCGTTGTAAGGGTCCCTACAGAGATGGCAGGTCATCTCCCTTTTGTGTGCTATTGGCAGCCTTTGTAAAGAGACAGGCCTTTGTAAAAAGGAAGCTTGTAGGACCAGTGTGGTATAATGTCAGGGGTGTGGGACATCTGGAATCAAATCCTGGCTACTGGCTGGCTGACTAAGTAAATCTGAGCGGGTTAATTGACCCCTCTGGGCCTGTTTCCTTGTCTATAAAATGGAGAAAATAATGATGTCCACCTCATGGGGATGTTGCATAGATTGAATGAGAGAATCCACGTTAAGCACCTGGCATGTTTGTTTAATGCGTAACACTAATTTGTATTAGTTTCCTACAGTTGTCAGACAATTATCACAACAGAAAGTTGTTCTCTCCAAGTTCTGGAGATCAGAAATTCAAAAATCAAGGTGTCTACAGAGCTATCGTCCTCTGGGGCTCTAGGGGTACATCTGTTGTTTGCCTCTTTCAACTTCAAGAGGATCCAGGCATTCCCTGGCTTGGAGCTACATTGTTCCAATCCCTCCAACAACTTTGTATGACCTTCTATGTGTTTGTCACTTCTGTCTTTTAGAAGGTCATTGTCATTGATACAGGGCCCACCTAGTAGTCCAGGATGATCTCATCTTGAGAGCCCTATTATAATTACCTAAGCATACAGTCCCTTTTCCCCCAAAATGTCAGATTCACAAGTTTGGGGATGTAGATGTATCTTTTGAGGGGATTACTGTTCAACATATTACAATACCTTAACCTTGAGGGCTTTCATAAGCCAGAACTTAACATGCATAGATCATTTGATTAAGCTATATCTTGGAGGACAGGTTCTTTGACGACTGACCCTGTTTTCCTAAATGATGATGAAGTACCATGGCCATGTAGGCTCCATGATTAGTGACCAAAGGAATTGGCTGACATACGTAATTTCTTGATTCTCTGAATTCCTTCCTTGGCCCTCTTCCTGCCTCCTGACTTTGTCCACATGCAGTGTCCTTTCCTTTCTCTGCAGATGTCTGTAGTGGACACTGATGTATTCTCCTGAGACCCCTCTCAAGGAAGAATTTGTTGTCCCAGAATCTGAGAGTATTATCAAACAGCCTGCAGTTTCTGGCCCCTTCAGGACAGCCTCAGTGCAGGGAGCCAGCTCACACCTGTCCCAAGCTGGGTCACATCCAAAGACTGATAGAGGCATCTGTATAAAGCTCTGTTCATTTCAGCCTATTATAGGGTATATCAGGTGGGCCATTAACTCAAGTTCCCTTGGATTAGAAGAGGCTTTGCAGAGCCTGCTTTTTATTTCACTCCTCTCTTGGCCCAGTCTCCTCCTCCCTACTCTGGGAAAACCTCTTAGTAATCTTCCTGCACATGGAACTCAAAATCAGAGTCTGCCTCCCAGATACCTTGACCTGCACCAGTGACTAAGGATCATGTGTCCTTGGGGTCATGCAGTTATATGCCAAATAGATTTCTTATCTTGACTATGTTTGTATTAATGTGTAATGATTCTGTTTTCTACAGGTGATAATAACTGATGGCATCTTGAAGTTTTAAATCATATTTTAAATCTTTTACATATCTCCACAGGGCTTTGGAGTTTCTCATTTTCTTGTAGCTTGTGACATACAACATAAATCTAAGGCGATGCTAAAACTCTGAACTATTCTGTGGGTATTTGAGAAAAGGAGCACCCGTTTGATAGTGGCTGAAAATTTTCTTGGTTGAAAATAGTGTTTTGAAGTTTCAATTGAATTCATATCTCTTGAATCTAGAAATTCATCATATATTTAGTACCATCTATGGGCAAGAAATTCCAAAGAATATAATACAAGGGAGGTCACTGCTCAAGTTGAGATAATAAGCTTTTGGAATAAAGTAGATGTAGGTTTGAGTCTTGTCTCTATCATTTGCTGTCACTGAAGTCTGTAGCTCAGTTTCCCCATCCATTCAATGGGGATAAGTGTATTAGTGGGATTTCCAATACTATAACAAAAACCTGAGATGATCAACTTATAAAGAGAAAAGATTGATTTTGGCTCACAGTTTGGGAGGTTTTAGTCTGTGATCAGTTGGCCCTGTTGCTTTGGGGCCTAGGGTGAGGAAGCACATGGCATTTGGGAGCACTGTGTAGAGCAAAGCTTCTCACCTATGACTTGGATAAAAAGGAGAAAGAGGAAATGGTCTCACCATCCTTCCAAGGTCATACCCCCAATGACATGAAGACCTCCCCTAGGTCCCACCTCTTAAAGGCTCCCACTGTCTCCCAATAGCACCGAAGCCTGTAGCTCAGGGACTAAGCCTTTAACATCTGGACCTTTGGGGGCATTCCAGATCCAAACTATAGCAATAATCATCATACCTGCCCTGTAGGTCTTTTGTGAAAGTTAAATGAGATTGTTCCTAAAAAAATTTTATAATAGTGAACACAATAAATATTCACTTTTATTATCTCTTTCCTGAGGCACAGGATAAAATACATATACTAAGTAGCACACGCTAAACAGATTTTAGATCATTTGAATCACTGTTTACTGAAAACTCACGAAAATTTGTCCATATTCTTTTAAAAATGATCCAGACACTTTTTTTCTTATGAGAGAGAAGGCTATTAAGTTTCTTAATACTGAAGGTGACATCTGCCTCTCTAGGCAACAAATCACATGGCTCTTAGGGAAAGAACATTTCAAGCAGAGGGAACAGCCAGTGCAAAGTCCAGAGAGAACAGCTGGACTGTGTTTGAGGACCAGCAAAGAGGTCTATGAGGCTGGAAGAAAATCAGCCAGGTGGTCGAGGTCAGAGAAATAAGGGGCTTGAGGAAGGTTTCTTAGGACTTGGTAGGTCATTGTGAAGACTTTGGTTCTACTAAATGATTTAGGAAGATGTTTCATCTTGAACCAAGGAGAGACATGGCCCAATTTCTGTATTGAAAGAATGTCCCTGACCACTGTGTTAAGAATGGAGTGTGGGAGCCAAGCATGGTGGCTCAGGAGGTAGAGGCAGGGAGATCAAAAGTTCAAAGCTAGCCTCAGCAACTTAGCAAGGCCCTAAGCAACTTCCTAAGATGCTGTCTCAAAATAAATAAATAAATATAAAAAAAGACTGGGGATGTTGCTCAGTAGTTAAGCACCTCTGGGTTCAGCCCAAGTACCCCTCAAAAACAACAAGAGTCGGGGGTGAGGGGCGGGCAAGCCAAAAACAGGGAGACTGTCGTCTGGAGGCCACTGCGATATCTCAGGCTGACATCAATGGTGGCATGGGTCAATCAGGTCATGAACATGAATGTGGACCAGGGTCAGCACTTGCTGTATTTTGAATCCTGATCTGGCAGATTTGGTTATTGTCTTAAGAGGCAGAGACAAGTCAAGGATGACTAAGCTTTCTGTCGTAAGCAACTGTAAGAAAATAATATTCCTTTAGTTGAGATGAGGTAGAGAAAGGCAAGAGGCTGTTTTGGGAAGAAACATGAGCCATTCATGTCAGGGCCTGGTAAATATTAGATAGCTCTGGAGAATCCAAATGAACACACTGAAGTGGCAATGCGATAGAAGAGTCTGGAGTTTGTAAGATGTATGGTCTAGAGATGTACTTTTGGGAATCATCAGCCTATAATTGCTATTTAAAACTATAAGACTTGATGAAATCACTTAGGGAATAGGTAGGAAAAAAATAGGAAATTAAAGGACAAAACTTGCTCTCAGGTGTTAAGGGATCAGAGAGATAACAAACAGCAAAAGAGACTGAGGAAGAGCTGTCAATGAAGACAAGGAAAACCCGGACTCTGGAAGCCAGGTGAAGGCATGGGGACAGGGCTTTGATGGTTGAACAGAAGTTGGCTTTGGTTAATGATCCTCAAAATTCTGGTCCCCAGACCAGCAGCATCAGCAGCACTACCTGAAAACAGGTTAGGAATGTACAAAATCATGGGCCCCATCCCAGATCTACTGGGTGGATGATAGCTTGAGAACCCCAGGTACAAAACCTTCTGCACAAAATTACAAGGAAGATTAAGTTTGGGGGGAGGGAGTTTTCTTTTGGAGACCCATTTAGTGCTCAAAGCAAACTTGTATCAAATAGATTCCTCAGAAGTAACCTTTCGCCAAAAACAGCCCCCATCCTTCACATCCCAGTTTAGAAGCTTCTGACCAATCTATCATGGTTTTTTGGAGAAGTGGAATGTCCCCATTTCACTGAACAGAGGGAATGCAGAGCACCAGGCATGCCACAAATTCCACTGGATGAAAAAAAGAGGGCGGGGGTATTCCTGGGTTAATAATACTGGACCATTAATACTGAAACTTCTGAGATATAAAACTTATTCCACCCACCTTTTCCAAATTTTACTCTAGACTGTCCTAAAAGAATTCCCCTCCCTTCCATTCTGGGGAACAGAAGTTAAAATTAGGGCCAACCCTGCGGGACTGACATGCCAGATGCAGAGAGGCTGTCCCCTGAAATAAGCTGGTTCCCACCGCGGATGGGCGGGGCAGGCGCCTCTGGTCCCAACCAGCGAAGGGACTGCTGGAAGGCCTGCCCCTTCCAAGTGTCGGCAAGGGGTCTGGTCCCAAGCTTTAAAATCCTGAAGGAAGGCACCTCGTGCCGACCTCTCATCTCCTCTCCTCTCCTCCAGCGGTGGCTGGCTGTTCAAAACTGTGAGGTCGTGTCCCTGAGCAGCTCCCGCGTCGCCTGGGACAAGGGGGCCGCGCGGTTTGACCGCCCGCTGCAGCCCAGCGTCGCGACGCTCTCCACACAGGCACCTCCAGCTTGCCACTCCGCCCGCTTTGCAAAGTTGGGCAGCTCCAGGAGCAAGCTTTGCCTCTGGGCTTCTCCCTCCTGGGCCCCAGTGCCCCCGCCTCCCCGCTCCCTTTCACCACCAGCAGCCGGTCCCGGAGTTGGCAGCCTGCATCCTTTGCCCAGCCCTGCTCCCTGAAGCACGACCATGCTGCTAAGGGGCGTCCTCCTGGTGGTGCAAGGTAAGGCCCGGACGAGGGAGGACCCCCGGGGGGCGCTCTCGCGGCTCGCTCCAGCTCTTGCTACCCCGGTGGCAGGGCTCGCGGTGCTGGGCTGGGCCATCCGAGGGCGCCTCCCGATCCTTCTCCGCAGCCGTTAATCTCCGCTGGCCAAGCCTGGGGTGGGAGTGGGCGTAGGGTCCCGTAGCGAAGTTCCCCCGTGGCTGCTGGGGGAGGTAGTGCATCCCTCTCCCGCCCCCTCCCGCACGCCATCCCCCCACTTTCACCAGATGGTCCCCCCGGGTTGGTGCAAGCGCTCCCCGGCGGGAGCACGAACTGAAACTCGCTTTGTGCCTGCAGCCCTGCAGTTTGCTGGTGCCTTGGACCTGCCCGCTGGGTCCTGTGCCTTTGAAGAGGGCACTTGTGCCTTTGACTCGGTGTTTGCATTTCTGCCATGGATTTTAAATGAGGAAGGTAAGGGGGCTCCATGGAGAGGCGCCCCGAGGTAAACTTTCTAATTTGTTAGTTGGCTTCTATTCCTTACCCCCACATGGATAATGTCATCTTGGAGTTAAATCCCCTCTGGAGCAAAAGTGTGAGTCACGGATCCTCCTTCCAACCCTCAGCTGTATTGCAAGGGATGGCCAAGAAAGAGATAAGGCAGGTTTTCTTTGTTTACCTGGCCTGTGGCTAGGAGCTCTGAGAATATGCACCTCCCACCAGCACTCCTTAACAAGGGAAAGGAGGGCGGGGGCATTGCTAATGATTGCCACCTGCCAGCTGTGTGCCCCCTTCAGGCCATCCTTTTTTTTCTGGTCTTCAATGAACACATTTGTGAGCTGGGAAATTTGGATGGGACTTCTTGTCCAGCTTTGCAGAATGGCCCGATACTTGGACTGGAGACATTTAGCTCAGTAGGAGAGCATTTGCCTAGCATGCTCAAAGCCTTGGGTTCCATCCCTGCACTGTTTTAAAAAAAGAAAGGGGTTGGGGGGCAAACAACAAAAGCCAGAATGGTCCTGAACTTCTGTGATGGGACCCCAGTGCTGAGACTTTTGTCCTCTGGCTCCTGTATATGATTCAGCACTAGACAAAAGAGGAAATTTCACCACAGAATATTTGAGGTCATTCAATTGGAGAGTATTGGTCTCACTACTCCACATTGTTTGTGTTGCAGTAACAAAGTCTAAATGTGGGGAATTCAGATGTGTCTTCCTATCTTCATTTATATAGGAAAAAATCAATTAGTGCCCAGTACTCAATTGCAGGCACCAAGTGTCCCTCCTTCTTTCTCTTCTTTGTCACTTATATCACCATCATGTAGAAACCTAACACCCTTAACTATTTGGGCTAGAAAACAATCTCCTGTCATGGAGACAGCACCATAAATGAAACCAGCTCACCCCACCTCCCAAATCAGTTGTCATCATACAATGTGACTCCCTGGAGATGGGTGGAGCCCTGAACCCTGATGAGAAGGCCTAAACTGTCACCACAGCTCAATCCCCAGACTTCTTTTGACGGGCTTGCTTACATGAACTTCTCTGGGCCTCACAGGTAGGTGATGCTAGCATCATTTTTGCAGAGGTGGGGACCTGAGTCTTCAAATATTCAATTGGCTGGTCTGTGTCACATAGTGTCACAAAGCGGCCAACTCTGAGTTGTCCGGTCATGAGAAGAAATAGGAAGAAACCAATTCAGTAGTAATCTTTATCCCCAACACTTGACACATCTTGACTATTACAGTTTACTGGAGGATATTTGGAAAAAGGCAATTTTTGATCTATTATCACAGGGATTCTACCTTGCCAAAGGCTTTAGGAAAGAATCTCACCACCCAACCCTTTTTCTATTCTGGTTACTGTGAAGCATTTTGAGAGATGGCCTTACATGTATCATGGGACTGGTTTGGGGGAGCATTATTCTCTAGCACAAGGCTTCTTGAACTTCACGTGCAACAGAATGACCTGGTGGGCATATTAAGACAGCTTGCTGACCCCCTCCCTGAGTTTCTGATTCAGTGAGTCTGGAGTGGGACCTGAAAATTTGTGACAAGTTCCAGGTTTTGTTGCTGCTTCTCTGGGGACCACACTTGGAGAACTTCAGACTTCCATGATGTTTGTTCTCCCCCATCCCCTCTTTCTCACACACACATCCATACACACACATCCATGCTATTTGCCCTAAGTAGGTCTAGAAACAAGGTGCAGGAATGACTTTGAGACCCCCAAGGGTGATCTTAAATCTTGCGTCCTAGGCTCCTCCCTTGCCTCACTCTGGTGTGACCCTGAAGAAAGGAAATCAGTATCACTCCTGAAACCAGAGCCTGAGTTCCTGAGCCCCCACCCCCAGCCTCTACCAGGATAGGAACCCTCCCAGTCTGCCTCTGGGTCAGTGGGCATGCCACAACCTGCTGAGCTCAAGTCCCTCCCAGGCCCACAGGAAGTGCTCTGCTGAGCTGGCACCTCTGCACCAGGGTGGCAGTTATACTGTTCCCCTTCAGGGAAAACAGAAAGATGCTTATAAAAAAAGATGATTACAGTTTAATAGTATAATGAAGGCACTGTGGCTTCCCCCCCTGCCCCCTGGCTCAGGACTGGGACAACTGACTGGCTAGAGGAAGTACATTCACTCTCCTCCAACCAGTCCAGGGTGGAGCAGGCAGGTTAGGCTTCAGTCGTTACAGATTTAGTGTTTCAGAGATCCTAACGGTCCACTGTGGGCTCTGGATCAGTGAGGTAAATATGTGCCAGGTGCTGTGGTTGCCTACTGAGAAGCCATCACGAAGAATTTCCCTTATAAACCCATTTCTAGGTTGTTCAATTAAAAATAATAAAATTGTCCCAGGCTGAAGTTTGGCTAGCTGTTCACAAACTTCTTTGCAAATTTACTTCATCTTGCTGCAGAAACCCTTTGAAACAGGTTCCACTCACCTCTGTGTGCTGGATCCACCAAAAAATGTTATGAGTTTCAGAGATTTTTGCCCACTAACACTTGGAACATAAATGGTACTTCTGTATGCCCTTGGTCAGTAGGTTAATTTACAGCTGGGAAAGCAATGCTAAAGCCCAGTGAAGGTAGTTAAGTCTAAATACAAGTCTACAGTTTAGAATCTCATCGCAGAAGGGTCATGTCTAGGGGTAGTTGGAATCATCTTGGCTCACACTATCTCTTCTATTGCTGGAAATTGTATCTGACGTCCTTTAGTTTATCTAGACTATTAGGTTTCTAAACATCTCTGATTATATTCCAATGTCCACTAGTTCATGTCACTTTGAAATATGCTTCATCTCCAATGGATACAGAATAGGTAAGTTTTGACCATGCAACGTGTTGGCTTGGGTTGCATACCATCATGGAGTTTCCCCCAGGGAAAGGTGGCAATACTAGGTCAGGTGATTGGGCACTGCTGCCCAGTATTGTCTACTTTCTGGTTTTGCCAATGTTTGTTCCATTTTCTTGATTTACCCCTATGCTTTTTGTAGAATTTTTAAAAATTTCCTAACTTGTCAAGGGAAGTGAAATTATGTTATACTCAAATTTGAACTTGCTTCTAAATCTTAGGTTTGAATTAAACCCAGGAAATAAGGGATTTATTTTATCCTACAAAAAATCTTCTTTATTTGTTCATTTATCTTTAATAAAAATTATCCTTATTCATCCACAGTTCAGAAAATGTTGGAACTCCTTTAGAGCAATGGTCCTCAGCAAAAATTGAGACTGTTCATTTCATTTTCCTCATGCCAGCAGTGGGGAAGAAGCCCTTTGGCTGAGGATTCTTGGAGACCATACAATTGGCCTCACAATTCTCATTAGTCATTGAGTGGATTTTGGCTTCACTCTTATTTTTGGACATTGTGGCTTCCCACCTTTAACCTCCGAGAAAGCAAGGAATAGGAAAAACTGAAGCAAGGAGGGAGATAAAACCAAATCCAGGCCTGAGGCTGGGACTCGGCAGTAGAGCACTCGCTTAGCATGTGTGGGGCCCTGGGTTTGATCCTCAGCACCACATAAAAATAAATAGATAAAATAAAGGTACTGTGTCCAACTACAACTAAAAAATTAATATTAAAAAAAAAATCCAGGTGCTACTCCTTAAGCAGATGTTCCGAACACTAAGCTATGGGTGAAGAAGGGGATGCCAAGATGAATCAGATGAAGGGGAGGTTAAAAAAAGAAACCCAAAACACAGTTTTTAAAATCTGTTCTAATTACTTATGCATGACAGTAGAATGCATTTTGACATATCATACATAAATGGAGTATAACTTCTTATTCTTCTGGTTGTAGAGTTACACAGGTCATGTAATCATATATGCATATAGGATAATAATGTCCGATTCATTCCACATCACATTCTTCCCACTCCTTCCCCTCCCTTCACTCCCCTCTCTCTAATCCAAAGTACCTCTATTCTTCCCTAGCGCCTCACCCTTTGTTGTGAATTAGAATCCACATAGCAGAGAAAACATCTGGCCTTTGGTTCTTTGGGATTGGCTTATTTCACTTAGCACGATCATCTCCAGCTCCATCCATTTACTAGCAAATGCCATAATTTCATTCTTCTTTAAGTCCGAGTAATATTCCCTGTATATATACCACATTATCTTTATCCATTCATCTGTTGAAGGTCACCTAAGTTCATTCTATAGCTTAGCTATTGTGAATTGAGCTGCTTTAAACATTGATATGGCTACATCCCTGTAGTATGCTGATTTTAAGTCATTTGGGTATAAACCAAGGAGTGGGATAACTGGGTCAAATGGTGGTTCCATTTCAAAAGTTTCCTGAGGAATCTCTATACTGTTTTCCATACTGGTTGCACCAGTTTGCAGCCCCACCAGTAATGTATGAGTGTACCTTTTCCCCCACATTCTTGCCAATGTTTATTGTTGCTCAAAGCACTTTTTATACAGAAGACCTACCTTGTTTTTCTTCTATAGAGGTCAAGGTTTGAGAAATTGCCTAACACAAGAAATATCTGGATGATTCTTTTATCTTAGAATAAGTGATAGTATCTGAGGCTGGAAAGTAGTCATGGTTTGTCCTAACCAAGGGACAGGGCTGGGGGTCATGGTAAAGTGCACCTGAATCACCCTGTAAATACACGTGTGTGTCTCTTTCTGATGCCCTTTCCTTTGCCCAAACTTGTTCCTTCTCTTCTAAGGACATCTTGGCCATCAGAGTTTCAGTTCTGCACTCAGTCATGTGCCAGTTATTATTAACAGTGATGAATCCTCCCTGAGATTTCTTGAAGCCCAGCTGGAGTCAAAAGCCTGGCCAGGAGCCCAAGGGACCTTCCTGGGAGAGGACAGCCAGTCCCCTCCTTCCTGCCAATGACAGCTCTTTTCCTGACTTTGGAAGGCTGCTTCAGCATCCCACATCACCAAGTTCTTAAGGCAATTCCTGTCCCCCATAAGGTTGCCTGCTCCTGCATTCCCTCTGCTGACTGTTCTCTTGAAGGTCTCCAAGCA